CTGATGTGCAGATTGCATCCCTTGAAGCACCCTCATTGAATCACAGAGAGATGCCAGCACGTGAAATGCTCACGGGACAGACCCTCCGCCGCCTGAGGAGGAGACCTGACCTCAGTTCCCAGCAGTGCTGGGGAGCAGAGCCGGGAAACGCCGAGGCGGAGATAAGGACACAGCCTCTCCCCTGGGTTTTCCAGCTCCGAGCCCCACACGGGCCTCCTCAAGGCCCTATGCGGTGCGTGAGGAGAGGCACACATGAAAATCCCGATACACGACAGCTAGCTCAGGGGTTTGGCAGATACGTGAGGTCAGGGCACTGCATAAGCCAGCAAGAAATGCTGAAGATAGGGATGCTTCAGATTCCAGCTGCCTCTCGGGCACCGGGCAGGGCTCTCCGAAAACACATTCCTCCACCGGGAAGCAGCAGCCCTGAGCCCTCTCCCGGCGTCAGGTAACTAAGCCCTTTCTTTGCAAAGCAAGAGCTGCTCTATTCTTTCCAAACAATGTTATCAGCGGGCAGTGGCGCTCCTGCTTATCTAGCAGCTTGAGCATTACCCAGAATGTGGAAGAACTGGGCTCCACGGCAGCCCCTCCACCCAGGGGCTCTCCCCCCGGCTCCGGGCTTGCAAAGGGTCTGGGCATGGCAGAGCAACCGCTGCAGCTCCCAGACTGAGGATCTCCTCCCAAGGTGGCCTCTGTATTTTTCCCTGCACCCCAAAACTCACTGCTGCTCACCCCGCAACTCAACCCATTGAGCGCGGTTAACAGGAACCACAAGATTTCACATCCAGCTGCTCACCTCCTTGCAAACACCTGGGTTCAACTTCTCTGGTGTCAGCTCTGTCCCTCTGGCATCAAACCCTCCGTGAACGGGCCTGATCCAAGAGCACAACTAAAATACTTGCTCATTACCCAGACAAACATCCCACCACAGGTGAGAAGCACCTCAAGAGGAATGAGCAGCAAAAACAGGGTCTCACCGCCTCATAATCCAACTCTGGCCCCACCTCAACTGGTGTCCTTCTGGCAGAAGGACATGATCCTAAAACCTCTGCCAAGAAGGGCAGGACATCCCTCCTTTAGGCTCAGCTGAGGAATGTGCTGCCCAAGAGTGGCAGGAATCAAACCCTAACGAGCCATCTCCCCATAACCCCTCTTCCTTAGGGCACAGTCCTGCCCTGTCCCCCAGGGAGGTTGGGCTATCAGTGCAGGCTCTTCATCCGCACCCTCACGTACCGGGGGACAAAGGGTTTAAACACTTTAAATCACCTCAGAAAGACGTGCTAGCTCATCAGCCAAAGCCCCGGCTCTGCTCGTTTTGGAGAGCAGTGGTTTCGCATTGGAGGCAAGGAGTCCTGGTTTCCATCAGCTCTCCAGCACAGACCTCAACCTCACAAGAATCTCTCCAACACACCAACCGCTGCAAAAAATATACAACACAACCGACTGGGACAGAAGCTTGAAGAGACACTGTAAAATTGATTAGTCGTCAAAATCATCAGGCCATAAAAGAAGCTCCAGCTGTGCTCCTCTTATTTGCATAGAGAAATGCAAGAGGCAGGGCTCTATTTAAAATTAATTCCTTCTTTTTTTTTGTTTACTAGAGCCTAAGTTACTCTGGTTGACAATTAGGCCCATTATCCAACTCCTTTCTTTTCCACCACCCCACCACTGCCTTTTTTCGTAGCCTATGAAGAAAAAAAAAGAAAAAAGGAAAATTCCAGTAAGTGCTATTTTAAAATGAAAAATGCAAGTTTACAAAGAGCTCAGGAAGGTGTTTGAACCATTCAGCCTTCTGTTTTAAGACCCCAGCACAGGACTCAACACAAACAATTCCTTTCAAATCAACAGCAATTTCAAGTCACCCTGCTGCGTATGTGCTCAAAGTTAAGCGCTGGCCCAAATGTTCTGCTAGACCCTTGGCGTAAGTATAGAAGGGCAAGAGAAAACAAAGATTTATTTTTTGGCTAGTGTACTTCTGCAAAATCACTGTCAGCACATATTTTTCAGTTCATACAAAACCCAGTGGAGGAAATTTAAAACAATAACTAACTTGGAGGCAAGCAGTTCAGAAAAACTGCAGAAGAAAAACCGTAATACAACGTAACTCATAGGATTGTTCAACGCTAATCGTTAAGCTGGGTGTTTACGGCATCCCACCGCAAACCAGGTCCCTTTTGGTTCAGTTTTAAGACTGACCCACAGTTTTTGCGGATGCTTTGACAAAAACTACCAAGAGTGACCCATTTTAATAGTTAAAATATTCCCCCACTGTAGATGCCTGCCTTACCAGAGATGTAGGTGCTCTGGACAATGGTACCCCAACCCTGGGTACCACAACAAGCCCACTGCAAACAACAGGTTTTCATGCCTGGGTACAATGGATGCCAAAAGCAAAACCCCAGCAAAGCCATGACCCACATCACGATGCAGACCTTAAGACCACGTCCCAGTTCTACCTTTGCGTTCATCGCCCTAAGAAACAAGAATTCACAAGCCCGCTACGGAAACGCTCCCTTGCTCTATTTTCCATGTTGGGAAAAAAAAAAATATTCAAACAGGTAGACAAAGATTCTCCAAAGAAGGAGCGAGAGGTTGCCTGGTCGTACCCCCAGCCAAAGCCAGGCCAACCTGCAGTTACATCAGGTTGGGTTTTTTTAACTTGTCTAGTGGAGCTCTGACCATCTCCAGCCCCTCTGGGTCCCTGTTCCCATGCCCAATTACCCTTGCTGTGACCACTTCTTCCCTAACACCTCACTGAGAAAGCTTTCACTAATATCTCAGCTGGAGCAACACACAGGGGAACGAGCCCTTCTCATTCCCACTGCAATCATTTCTGCCTGTGTGCTAATTTGTAAACTAGCCGAATAAAAGACAAATTTGGAGCTGGAAACTCTTTTATTGTCATTTTTCTGTCCTTTGAGTGGGATGGGCAGCACCAACGCAGCACATTACTGCCTTTCTCTGTACATTCAGACAGATGGCCTCCAAAGCACACAAGTCTCTGGGCTTTTCCAAGATGACTGTATTTATACTGCTATCCTATAGGGAAGAAATCCGGCAACTGTATTTTGGGGGGAAACGGGAGCAGAGCACTGGATTCGTGCCTCATGTACAGCTACACCAAATAGCACCGTGCAGCTTCACGGCACACAGATAGGCACTGGGCAACTGGCATCACTGGTGGTGCCAGTCCCGACCCGCGGATGTCCTCCTCCTTATTCCCCAAAGCTTCTTTGGTCTTTACCTAATTACGACTCCAACCAACCTGCTTAACACCACTATCATCAAGAACCTTTAACAAGCACCAATGATCCCATAAATCTGCTTTTTATGGCATGGCAGAAGCCTAATTACACATTTAAATTCTGTCAAAAATTAAAACCCACACACTTGCCCTAAAATTGAAATCAGCCCTTTTAGGTACCAAATAAAAACAATGCTAAAATTTCAAAGCCATGTTGGCAACACAGCTGAACTGAATTACGTTGCTGACCCTAAACAGATCGAGGGCATTCCTTACTCTTCCTTTGAGGCCCCCTCCTTTATTTTCTATATATGTTAGTGTTATAAATACAGGCACTTTGATCCACGCCCTGAATTGTGACCATACAAGTCCCGAGCATTAATGAGCGATGCAGCTCAAACACCTATTAACTCCGTTATTACATATTCTTATTCTACTGGAGTCCCCTGCTACTTTCTCCAGCATAATACATTGTTGAACCTCACTACAGAGGTTTGAAAACGCTTTGCTACGAGCCCTTTTATTTTTGTGACACCACCTTTAATGAAGATTGAGCTTATTAAATACAAGTCACATGTCACTTAATTTTTTACAAAAACAAGCACTGTAAATGAAACACAACCTGTGTGTAAGATGAGACAAGATCTGTACAGATACGCACTATGATTGGAAACAAAACCTAAAGCAAGCACATCTAAGATATTTGGGGATTTAGCAAAACATAATATTGCACATTAGAAGTGAAGGAAAGTTTGTGGCTATGGTACTTCCTATGAGTCCTCTAAAAGTGCCCAGGAAGAGGTCTGTCACACCTGGGGAACAGCAATGATACAGCGAAAACATGGTCACATCGAAAAACAGCAGAGTAGGTAGCCCGAGAAGATGGAACTAAGGTGGGATACTGGCATCACCTCGCTCTCCCAGCTCACCACTAGTACTAGGTGACCACCAAAAGCAAACCTCAAACCCCCAGTGACTGCCCAGACATCCCCTTGCTCTGGTCCTCAACATGGATGTATGCCTACAGAAAGGGAAATAGCACCTGACAAATTCTACAGGGGCTTTTTTTTTTTTAAATAATCACATAAGATCTTTTACAGCTTAACAAGCAAATATTATCATTAGATACTGTATTTTTAATTACATGCATATAGGTAACAAATGGATGAACGCATATTATGTCAAACCCAGGCAGCATCCCTTTACATACCTGATCTGTGCCTCTTCCAAAACACTTGCATTAAGGAAGGTTCTTCTTGAATAATATGGGAAAATGGGCGCAATAACTAAAATGGGTTCCTCTATGCATTTGGGCTAAAAGGCCTTTCATCTCCCCCTCCTCCTGCTCTCAGAGTTAATACCAAGCATGAGGAGCAAAGAAATACCGAGCTCAAAAAACAAGGGGTGGGGTGGACCTAGCCAGCAGTAAATAACCTGCATCATCCACCCTCAGTGACCCCAAAAACCCGTGCCCTGGTCCCCGGACCAGCTGCAGGACCCAGGAGCGCTGTGCCCGGGGGGTGGATGGAGGCTGCCTTGGATGACTAGACAAGCTGGGGAAAAAAGAAACCCAAAACCCCAAGCCAAAACAAAACCAGAGATGGCTTTGTGCCTGGTGTGGCTAAAGAGCTGCATTCTGGTGACTTTTCAGCTTGCTCAATGCTGCTGACAGGAGGAAGAGGCGCCAGCAGCAGGGAGCAGCCATGTTCCCCGAGCAGGGCTGGGGGAAGGCTCCCTCCGGGGAATTCATACTCACCTGGCGGTTTCATGTAATATTGCTCAATATCGGACATGTCCGTATGCAGCGCACAATCGAGATAGTGGAGGATAACTTTTCTACTGAAGTAGTACCTCATGCCCATCAGAAAGAT